TGCCAGCATTTACTTTTTAGGAGTAAGAGCGGGTTTTCTTTCTTGGTTCGGCTCGCTTTTTCACCATGAAAGGTAGGGTTGAGTTTAATTTTAGCCAGAAAAGTTTGCCATTGAATAAGTAATAATTGATAAAAAGTTTTGTCATCGGTGCAGTGCGAAAAGTAATCATCAGTATTTAGATAGGAGAAGAATTCACCTTGGGTGTCAGTTGGGAAAAAATAACGGTTAAAACTAGTTTTTCTTCATAGACCCAACAATTTGGTTTCTTCGGAAGTTAAACATTTTACCGAAAAAAAGGGAAGAAGTAGGGGAATAATGTTTTGTGGAATGGTTTGGGTAGGAGAAAGGAGAAAAAAATTAAATCCAATAAAAAGATTGACGTAGTTGACTTCCTTTTTGGGAGAACGAGTTAAAATTCATTGTGCCGCAAAGTATTTTATTTCTTCTAATTTTTGGGCTTCAAAGATAATCAGACAATTTTTACTCAGGTCAGCAAGAATATAATCAAAAGAAAAAATTCGGTCATTAGGAACATCCGGAGAAAAGAGTTTTTGGAGAACTTCCTTGTATCCCTTACTGTTTTGGGGATAAATGGTGGCCGAATATTTTTTGGCTTGGGGGTTTTCTTGCAAAAAAATCTTTACTCCTCAAATTGGTTTAATTTTTTTGCCTTTGCAGGAATTGAAGAATTCCATAATCTCATAAGGATAATAATCTGCAATCGCCAAATAATTTAATTTATTATTAGTGGCTCAATCAATTAATTGGGGAATTGTCAAAAAAGAGAAGGAGAGGTTGGAATTGGTTTGAGTATTGAGATGAGGGAGAAAAAAAGTTTCCATACTTAAATTATTTTTTGGAAATTACTCCTCTTCAAAAATTTAGATATTCATCCTTCTTCTTGCTTTATTTATTCATCACCAAATTTTCTCTTCTTGTTAGGTTCATTAACTTCCTCCTTCTTCTAAACTTTCTTTTTGGCTGGTTCTTACTTCTTCATTAGTTACTTTTACCTCTAATGCTGGTCTTTTGTTTGGTCTGATATTTTCTTCCTCTTCTAACGATTGTTTTTGACCTCTTGGCTCTTGGTTAATGTCGGGATTATTTTCAATATTTTCGACTAGGGTTTTTTTAGTTAAGTTTTTTTTAAAAGGATTTACTTCCACATTTTTATTCTTTGTTCCCCCCAAATAATAAACTTCATAAGTTATTCGTTCTCTTTTTAAATATCTTTCAAAGGAAATAGTATCAGTTAATTTAAAAAGAAGTGATGGGAGTTAATGGGAGTTTTTAATTTTCTCCCTTAACAAAAAAATTAATGTTCGCTGGCTGGCAAACTTTCCCGATGAGGTTTAACTTGACTTCTAATATAAACTTCTTGTCTATCTTTTCAAACCTCTAAATCATAACGTTGCTGTAAGTTTAAAAATACTTCGGGTTCAATTTGGAAATAGCAAGATAAGCGATAGGCAATTTCTGGAGTTATTTTTTCTTTACCTTCTACTAGGTCTTGGAGTTGGTAAGTGGGAATATGTAAATCTTGGGTTAGTTGCTCTGTTGATAAGTTTAAAGGCTGAAAAAATTGCCTTTGTAAAGTTTTGCCAGGATGAACTGGCGGTAATTTAGTTGTATTAATCATAAGGTTATTATATAACTTATTTTTAATGATAATCTACTATTTCTACTTCATAAGCATGACCATCTTTTCAATAAAAGCAAACTTGGTATTTGGTGCTACCAACTCAAAAAGACCGCTGACCTTCCCGATCGCCAAACAAGTTATGTAGGTTTAAACCAGGAATTTTCTCTAGTTTGCTTCAATTTCGTAATAGAGTCCAACAAATTTAAACTTTCCCAGGCTAATTCGTAAATGGTCAACATTTTTCTAGTGGGTTGCCGAGTTCAAATCTTTTTGGCTCACTTTCCTTTGAGAGACTTAATCACTTTTTTATTAATATTTTTTAACAATTATGCCGACTTTTTAAAAACAAAAACTTTTGGAGTGTGTTTATAATTTTTAGTTTCAGTTTCTTTAAAAGTTCGAAAAGTATAATAAGTCCAATGATAATAACGACCTTCTAACTTAACTTCTTTATTATGTAATTGAGGAATTAATATTTCTCTAATCAAATCATCAGTAATTAACTTTTCGGCTAATTCCTCCTCTGACAATTTAATCCCTTTTCTTTTTAATTTCTCTAAATATTCCTTATTATGCTTTTCGTAATAGGGGCTGATTTCTAATTTAGTAAAGTGCTGACCCTCTATAACTAAATCACATTTATGAGGTCTTAAATTAGTGGGCTTCTGCGGTGGCTTCTTTTCGACCATAACTAAAAACTTTTAATTCAAAAAGAATATGGAGATTACTAACATAACTAGCCAATTCATCCAAGGTAAATTCGTCAATATGACTATAAAGAATACTATCCAAACGAGACAAAGTAATCCCTAACTGTTGAGCGATAGACTTTTCCGCTAAATTATTTTCGCGACGATAACGAGCGATAGTTTGACAAAAATCATACTTGGCTCTTTCCATAGGCGAGGCATTAGGAGATAAACCAATATTAGTCTTTTTGTCGCTTTTTTGAACTCTTTTAACTACTCTTTCAAATTCCTCTTGGGGTGGGAATACTGAATGATTATTATTTTTTACCATGATGTTATTAATAGTTTTTAAACAAATTTAGAAAAAAACTGATATTTATAACCTCTCAATAAAAGAAAATCACCTACTAAATTAGGCTGAATTAACCCTTTTTATTACCCTACTCAAAAATGTTAATTTTTAGTGTTGAGGTTCTAAATACTCTTGCCACTCTTGTCAGCGTTCGTAATCTTGTTCTTCTTCCTGTAAATATTCAGTTAAATCCCTATCAAACTCGCCAACAAACTTAGTTCCCGTCTCCAAACGATTTTTGATAAACGTCTCTATTTCCCGAGAGCGAACTACTAATTCTTGATAATCTTCATCAGTTAATTTACTTCTATTTCCTCTATTAATATTTCTTCAAGCACCACCACCTATTTTACTTACAACAAAGTTGTCAAAATTGTTTAATTTCTCATTAACTTTTTCAGCAAAACCTCTTTCTTTCAAAATTGATTTCTTTTCTTCTGCTCTACGACTTCCTAACATTCAAAACATCAGACTTGAACTACAACAATGAGCCTTAGCAAATATTTCTCTTTTTTCTTTTTCTGTGAACATAATACTTTAATTTTATTTCTTACTTGGGCTTATTAAAAAACTAAACATTAATTTCTTTCCTTACCTCCTCCGTAACTATTTTTATTTGTCAAGGTCAAGAAATCTTTTCTAAGTAAGAAAGTAATTGTCTTAAATCTAATTGCTGAATTCACCCATAAAGAATAGCATGAGTATATTGTGAATTAGCCCCTATTTTGGCTTCTAATTCTCCCTCTGTTAAATTATTTTCTCTTTTATAGCGAGCAATAGTCTGACAAATTTCATATTTTACTTTTTCCTCCGCGGTCGGATTTTCCCCTAAACCAATATTTTTATTCGGAAAATTAGGACTTCGCATTTCCCGACAAATTTTTTCGGTTATTTCCGCTGGTGGACTTTTTTTAATTCTTTTTTCCATATTTATTTTTTTTGGTTGGTCTTTCATAATTACTTTCGCGATAACAATCAACTACTTCAATATAATTTTTGTTATCTTCTAGACATCAAACTAGACAATAGGCTTTATCTAGGTAAATTAATGGTTCATAACTATAATATACTCATTCATCGTATCTTTTACCTTCTCCTAATTCTTTTTTTCCCAATAATTCTAACGACTTTACCAATTCAATAATTAACTCTTTGGTAATTCCCTCCTCTTTATGCTTTTCTCAATAAGGATTAAAGTATATTTCATCAATAAGAATACCATTAATTATTATTGACTTTTCTAAGCGAAAATAATCATATTCAATATTCTGATAAAGCATATAAATAGTTTTTAACCAAACCCATGAAAAACTGGAAGGAATTATTTTTTTGTCTCGTCCCGTCTCGGTTATTTTAGTAAAAGAATTAGCCAAAAAAATAATGGCTAATGAGAAACTTTTTCAGAGAAAGAACGATAAAATACCGGCTTTGCCTTTTTGGTTTGAGATGTTGGGTAGTGTGATTTATCATGCGTGGTGTTTTGAATGTTTTGAGTTCATTCGGGAAGCATTAAGGCATGGGATAATTAAAAATCGCCATGATGCTCGGTTTTGGGGCTTGGGAGAAAAAAAGGCGTTATGTGGGAATTGTTTACAAAAAAGGTTAGCAGAAATGCCCCTACGGAAACGCCATCTATGGGCAGAATATAAGAAAAGAGGATATTGGGAGATTAATTAATACGCAATAGGCGTTATTTTGACTTTGATTGAAAATTAATTCTCCTTCAACCACTTTTCCGTTTTCTCTTTTTCTTTTTCATAATCTTTTAATTGCTTTTCCAAGCGGTCTAATTGTTTATGGAGGAATTTGCGTTGGCTGGTTAGTTTATAGATTTGGGTATTTAAGAAGCGAACATATTCTTTTTTACGAGTTATCTCCTCGGGAGTGGGTTTAGTTGGCATATTAATCTTTGTCCTTTAATCATTCTAATACTTTATTCTCAATTTCTTTTCTCCGGGGATGTTGAAAATAATCTAATCCGCCAGTGGGTAGCAATAAAGATTTGGTTTGCTCGAAAGCCACTCGAATATAAGGTTTTCAACCACGTTCGCTACTTCCTAAATCTTTGATAAATTGTTTTTCTATTTTTTTCACCTTAATAAAAAAGTCTCATAATTGACTGCTTAATTTCTCCGTAATCACCTCCGCACCCCGAAAAAAAGTAATGTCCTTCTTTCCAAAAGAAGCGAAAATATAGAGACAATTGGCCTTGGGTAGATTAGAGTTTCACATTGGCTTACTACCAGTTCTTTTGCTGGCTTTTAGTTCAATTGGAATAATATACTGACTGGTAAAGATAAGAAAATCAGGGAAGTTCTGGGAACCATAGGGACTGCGGAAATAAGTTTGGTGAGTAAGCGCCGGAAAATTATTCCGAATTATTTCATTATTACCTTTTTGTAAAATTTCTTTTTTTAAGAGTTGTCATTGGCTTTTGTCTTCAATAAGTTTTAAGCGAAGAGGGATAAAATTGTTTTTCCTCAACTCTTCTTCTAAGCGGTCTTCTAAATGCTTGCCTTGGCTAATTCCTAACCAATCATCTTTATTTTTTTGGATGGATTTAAATATTTCTTTCAACATGGTCTAAATTATTATAAGCCACTACTACATCATGCTTTCCAAAACCAGGAGCAATCATATTTTTTTGGGCTAATTTAGCAAAATCTAACTGCAATAGTCTTTGTTTGGCTAGTTTATTTTTGCTCTTAAAGAAAATATATTGGCGATTTTTAAATAATTCAGTGGTGTTTTCTATTTTTTGGGTATAATCATAAAATCCCTGACGCACAACGGCAAAGTCTCAATTATATTTGTCTTTTTGGAAGTATTTTAAAGTTGGTGGGGTGTTATTGTGTAAATACATTTCAAAATCAGGGTGTTTAGTAATGGGTTTTTGTTTAATTCTTAAATCTTTTTGGTCAGTTTTTCGTTTGGTTCAAATTTGAAAGCAAGTATTTAAAGAATAAATTTTATTGTCCACTAAAAAAGAATTGGTCTCTAAATTAAGATCATAAATGAGTTGTAAGTCCTTATTTAGTTTAGATTGGACACTCCAACGGCGAAAGGTTAAGGGGAGAATGAAGCCGATGGTGTCAACCACTTCGGCTGATTTGTTAATAAACTCAGCAGCTAATTTACCTTTTTTGCCAAAAGGGGGATTGCCGATTACTAGGTAGTTATTTTGGTTTGATTTGGTTAGATATTTTTTTCATTCTAGGGTTAGAAAATTAGTCTTGATAATATTTTCTTGCTTGGATTTTGGCTCAATGTCAAAGGCTAATATCTTTTTGCTGATGGAAGAATTGGTTTTGCTAAGTTCTCTAATCGCCTGACAAAAGTTTCCGGTTCCGGCTGATGGTTCAATAAAAGTTATTTTTTTATAGCCTAGTTCCTTTATTTTTTCGAGGAAAATGCTGGTAAGTTTTTTGGCGGTTAAAGGGTTGGTATAAAATTGGTCGAGTTCTGATTTTAGTAAACCGTTGACTTTATTCATAGCTGACTTTAATTAATTTTTAAGGTTTGCTGGTGGTGATTGGATAATTTGAGCCTTGTTTTGTTCTTGCTCTAATTGCTGGTAATAGTTAAGTTTTTGCCACTGATGAAGTAATTGGCTGATGGTTTTTAATTGTTGTTCGTAGTA